CTTTCTTCAAGGCTCTTCATCGACATATTTCCATCATTCTTCCACTCCTCATCCTTATTCGGGTTATGGTTATGGAATTTTTTTGTTCATTTTGCTGCTTGATCTGCCCTCACTGTAGTTATAGTTACTGATCTCAATCTCATATACCCTTTGCATTTAAAAAGGTATAGGTACACTGATTCTATGTACGACATGGTTAGTTTTTCCTTTTCATTTATTGTCTATTTGGTAAATTCATGACCGCACTACTTTCGAATATCGAGCTAAATTTGATGCCATTGCACGCAGAATTATACGGTGTATATAGTGGACAACAAGGGATGTACCCAAATTTTTATCCGATGTACAATTTATATTCCCAGAGCGACCAAGTGCCCAGTTTTGGAGTTCATTATCCTCAAATGTCATATTCATCGACTCCCGTGCTAGTTCCTTCTTCAGTGGTCGTGGCAACAACCAGCACAAGTTGTACATTGTTACTGATTCTTGTCAGAAAATGACTGAAATTGATTTCGGCTAGTAAACTAGTTGATTTTTGTCGCGTTCCAGGTTCAACCACAACTCCCAATAGGATGCAAGACACTACTCTAAACGGGGCTACGAGGACAGTCTCCGAACAGAATTTGTCTACATAGTCGAGTCTCAAACGACATACATACACGATACATTCTTCCTGCAGGATAACAAGATTTCGAAACATTTTAAAAGGCTCTGCATTGATTCCTTGTCCATTTCTTCTCGCTAACAAGAGTAGGGATTTTATTTATATTTAGTCGTGTAGTCGCGTGATCTTGGTCTTCCCCTACAGTACCAAGGCCGGATCAGAAGATTGTTTCTCTGAAGGCAGAGAGCAACTTTTCACATGCATTTGATCACATTAGGCTAGGCTGATTAAAGGTTAATTTTATACCTTTGAACAACCTCAAACTAATTGGTTTAGCTTGGCCGTTTACATGTAATTTGTCTTTTACTTTAGACGTTGTTCATAATTCATGTTTTTTATTAGCTGCATTTGTTAGAAAAGAAAATGAGTTATGCCAAAACAAAACCAAACAGAGCACTGATTTACAGGTGTAAGGTCATATACATTCAATATCATTAGACTTGGAGGCATCGTTTTCTTCTCCTATTTGATGCTTATTCTTCGATTTTCCCCCCTTTAATGACTGTTTCTGGGTTTAACAAAAGCTTTAGAGATTGATAAATGGGTTTAAATTAAGGTGAATTTGGATTTTATTTGCATCTCTTGATTGATTTAGATTTTAGTTATTATTATTATTATTTTTTACAATAAAGAGCATTTCATATTTTCAGAATATTTGAAGATGCTCTAATATCCTACTAATTCAGCCTAAATTTCGAGGGAATTTAAGTGATGGAGGTCCTCTCTATATAGCCAATCATCTGCCACTAAATTTCATCTTCTCCAAATGCGTTGAGAATTTGGAGAATAATGCTATTTAGTACACGTGAAATTAGAGTACCGGTTTAAGTAACCACACTTGATAGGTCCAATTAAATAAATTATTTAACTTTGAATTTAAATGAATCTATCTTTTAACCCTTGTTTGATTTTCATTATTTTCAAAATACATTTCTCTTTCTTCTTTTCAGCAAACATATTTTTCAATAAAATAATATTACATGCAAACTTAATATTTTTTCTTATTTTTCAACAACACGTTTTCCATCAACATATTATTCCAAAATGTATTTTTATGAAAAAATGAACTTCAAGCAGGCTCTTAATGTCATCTAGTTGTCATTTAGACTAATGCTAAGCACTCGTAGACTGAAGAAATATTTCTAATTTTTAAGGGGAAACATTAGAAGCAAGTTTCCTGCTTACACTCGAGTAGATTTGAGCTAACAAATTGAATGATGAAGGCACCAATCTCATTTGTACTCTTTAACACCCACTTTGAGTCTATTTAAAAATGTGTTTACAAAAATATATCAAAAACAAGAAGTTCAAAACTGTAGCTCTCAAGTGAATTCTCAGAGTGTGAAACAAGTAATTCCACATGCAACAAACCAATTAATCAATCCATGTGAATTAATCAGGATTTTGACATTCGTTTCAAAACAGACTCACGTTTCTCCGTCTCCGTTTCTTCTCTCTCTGTTAAAGCTCTTTCCTTTGCTTCATCTATTTCTCATTCTTGTTAAACAATCCAAAAAGAAAAAGAAAAGGAGGCTAGAGTTTTATTGATCCAACATAATGCAATTGAATAATGAAAACCTAGATACAAAGAAACTATATATAGTCTAAAACATAGAAAACTTAAAAACTATTCCACCCTCAATAAATAATAAAAAAAATAATCATATATTTCTTAATAATTCTCACTAACAAATTCACTTTGGAACTTAAATTCTCCTCATTCTTTGCAACAAAAACAACCCATAAGCTTTTTTAACCAAAATGGCTTGTTCTGCAACTGTTAAAACTATCCAACCTATGACCATCAACTCTACCTAATCTCCTGATAAGTCTGATACTTGTACTAAATTCCAAAGCCCATCCTCTCTTCTTGGATGCAACAAGAAACTCTTTTACATTAGCAAAACTAAAATTTTGTTGAAGTGCCCAAAAATTTGACATAGGGGTTGACCGACCCTCACATTTGTGTGTGGGTCCGGCTTGAATTAAAAAATGTCAACCCTTCCATGTGTGTGTGCTCAGTCATCCCCTATGTCATCCCTTATGTTCGTGTAGCACGACCCTTCTAGCCACTTCCAATACTTAGATAACTTGTTACAGAGACAATATTAGAGCCCATTTGACAACCATCATTGTAGAAAAAAGAGTTATGAATAGTAATTTTTAGTAGGGCTGTAAGCAAAAATCGCCAAACTGGAAAATCGAACCGAAACCGCAATTTCAAAACCGACGGTTTGGTGCCACGTGGACCCGTCAACGAAATGGTTTTGAACCAAACCAAACTGGTCAAAAATGGTTTGGTTTAGATTTGAGAATTTTAATTATAGTTTGAAGCCAAACCGAACCGGCAAAAAATATATAAAATAAAAAAATAAAAAATTGATTTTTTTTGAAAATTTATCCAAAATTTCAATTTTTGTAAAATTGAATAATTTTTTCATTTTGGAGGTATTTTTGTCAATTTCTAATTTCCTATTAATTACTAAGATTTATGACCCGCCCAAACCTAATTATATGTAAAAAAAAAGGCCCAAATTTGAAAGAAGTAGCACTAAACAGCTCCACCCAAGTCCATATACTCACAAGTCACAACCCTAATCTTCCAATTTCCATTTCTCTCACTCGCAACTCGCTGGTCCCAGCCTCGCTCCCCGTGGCGCCTCCTGGATTCCCCTAAATCGTCAACACCCTCGAAATCTCGAACCTCCTAGTCACCGGTAGTGTACGTTCGACGGTATTATTAGACTATTTCAGGTTCTTGCATATTTATTTGATCGTGAGTAAGGCTTAAAATTGAAATTTTGTCACTTTCTAGTTGAAATTTGTTTACATATTTATTGATTGTGAGTAAGGTTTAAAATTGAAATTTGGGCTATCAGGTGCGCAAAAGACATTTGTTTACATATGAGAGAATATGTATAATTCCATGTTAAATTGCAGAAGATGAAGGTGGGTATCTATAGTGGAATGGGGGAGAAAAAATATTTGCAGCTTGTCTTTTGGAAGCCATTATTAGATGGATCCGTGTCTTAATTCTTTTTTTTTCCAATTTGCTAATTAAAATTTTTTTTGTGAAGGACAAAATTGATCATGAGTTCTGTGACTTCTTGAGTATGTAAATGTTTATTCCTTTTGCTAGTTCTGTGACAAAATTTGATGTTTCTTCAGTTCTGTGACAAAATTAATTCTTTTATTCATTTTGCTAGTTGAAAAGGGACATTATTATGTTTTTTGGACCTTATATTTCTTTTAGTGGACTTGTATTGTATCTTTATCGTAAAGTATTATCCTAAAACGTCAAAAGGGCGAATAAAAAACTATGCTTTAGTTTATTGTGATTTTACTTTTATTTTGTTGGTATTTAAATTTATAGTAAATATATTTAGTTTGTTTTAGACTTATTTCTAGTAAGATATAAATATATATTGAATTAATGGCATAAAAGTAAATACTAGATAGGAAAAAAAATATACGCGAAACCGGCGGTTTAAAACCGGACCAAACCGTTAGGTTTAGGTTTGAGTTTTTTTAAACCGGTCAAAACGGTTTGGTTTGAAAAGTTGTCAAAAACCACAAAAACCGGACCGCTTACACCCCTAATTTTTAGGAGAATGTGTGGTTCAAAAATGGGTAAATTTTTTTAGTATAGGTGTAGAATATTTTATTATATGAATATATGGTTGAAAATGATCCTATAGCAAATTTAAAATAAAGTAAAGAATGTCAAACGGCACTTAATATTTATTTATGGGATGATACTTCAGCGTGAAAAAAATCATTTTCCGCTGGACACTGATCGTGTTTTGTTTCTTTGAACATAAACATATAAGTTTAGCATCTGTATGACTCTCATTCTTTCAAAACTCTTTTTCTGCATCCTCATTTTTAACTACACATTCACACAATAAAATATTCTACACGTAAGCCAAAAACTTTTCCCTACTTTTTAAACAAGATGTTGTTCTCTTCGTATTTCAGTTTTTAGTTTTGAGTTTTGAATTTATTTTGAATTTTGTGTTTTGAATGTCCATTTTAATATTACTGAAAATGCGTTCTTTTTGTTATTTTAAAACTTCACTATTCAAAACAATGTTTTTCCTAAAAAGGGGCCACCATACAGGGGCTTAATTGGAGAAATCCTTGGACAGGGTCCATGTCTTGACATATGTGATCTTTTTCAGGTATTTTAGCTTTTATTGGAAGATAAGTAAAAATAATATATCTAAGCTCGTTGTACTCTGTAGAAACTATATCTTATTCACATGTAATTCATTTGCCAAACTATGTTGCTTGTGCATTATAGTTGGAATAACAATGGGATTCATAACTTAATCAAATGCTCAATTGCAATTTAGAAGCTTGCTCCATGTCACTTTTCACAATCCATTGTCTTGCTTCATTTATTTGTCTTACTAATGGTATGTGAAGCACATTTTGTTTCCTATTGACATCCCATCATACATGTTGCCGTGAGTTGCTTTGTCTTTTAAAATAATCTTGGAAGCTAGTGCAACCTAATGGTTTCAACCAACAATTTTCAATCGTCTAAGTTCGTTCATCAATCATCATCTTGCTCTGCGATAACTGCTAGTTGCATTGCTTGTCTTGAAAACTGTTTTTGTGGCATGGAATAGATAAGTTTGACAATTATGATTTTATATGCTTGTATTTCTATCAAAAGTATTCACTTTATGGCATTGACTTGGGCAATACTTGTATGATCAAGTATTATACCATGTGTTTTTAATGAGCGTTTTTCACTCCAATTGAGTAAATCCAAAAGTTACAGATTGTCAAGCACGTAAATATATTTTTATTTCGACAGCTGAGAAGGCTCACTATGCTACCCGAGATCCAATTACAGCATTAAAGTACCTGCTGGAAAACAGTTTGGCAAGTGAAGCAGAATTAACTGCCATAGAGAAGAAGATCGAGGAGGGGGTGGAAGATGCCGTTGAATTTGCAGATAAAAGCCCTGTGCCGGCTTGTAGTCAGCTGCTGGAAAATGTATTTGCAGATCCTTGGGGCTTTGGAATTGGACCTGATGGGAAGTACAGGTGTGAGGATCCTAAATGTACTGAAGGCACGGCTCAAGTCTAGCCTCTTCTTTGGCTGGGAAGCTTCCTGCACGAGATGGCTTTCAGGTGTGAAGGAAATACATTGTTGCATTTGGTGGTGATTACTGATGGCAGGCACAAGCTTACTTTTTTATGTACATACTGGTGTTTCTTTTCTGATCTCTTGTCATCTAGGCATTTCACAATTTCAATTCTGGTATCTGTATTGTTTTGTTTAAGGTTTTCTAATTTTTGTGAATTGGATAATGTTTGGAAAGGCAAACACAGTCACTATATCATATGTAGTTTCTCTCATCTAACTCATTCATGACAGTTTTATCATGAAATTTTATCTACCATATGCAATGTAAGATTTCAAGTTCTATAGGCTGGATTTGACAATATAGCTCCATATGTAAGTGACTGGTCTATGAATGAATGCTTGTTATCTATGACGTACTGCTTAAGGATTTAGCGTTGGAATTTATGTACAATCATCCTTAAACAGAAACATTTGTTGCAGGGACCCATAGAGGTCCCATGATCTACAAGGATAGGGACGATAGATTTATTGTTCATCAATTCCTCATCCAGTCCTAGAAAGCAAGCAAGCTCTTGATTAGAAGAGGCATTCTCATCGTGATTGTTTGTTGATTCCGTCACTTACTAGTAATTGTTGACTTGGATGAATGTATAAACTTGAAATGAAGCAGGGTAAGATCTCAGCTACACAAAGTGGAGATGGTAATTTGATTCTATTTCTATACATACGTAAGCCCCTGTTTGACAACCATTGTTTATTGTTTTTGATAAACAATGTTTTGAGTAGTGATTTTATGGAGAATGTGTGGTTAAAAAAAGTGGAAAAAATTTTCGGATTTATGTGCAGAATATTTTATTGTGTGAATGTGTGATTGAAAATGAGTATGTCGAAAAAAAAAAAAGTTTTCAAATAATAGTTGTCAAATAGGGGCTAAATAAAAAATTCCGCTTAGCTTGATTAAAATACGTAAAAAGTAGCAGCAGTGGCAAGTATTCTAATTCATGCCATTGTTGGATGAAGTAGGTTGCCGTGTTACTGAAGTGTTGAAGGAACTTGCAGGTTAGCTATGTTTTGTCCCAAGTTACTGTTAACACGTGTATTTACTATTCCTTGTGTTGTAATCAATCTAGTTAAAATTATTGTATCTTCCTTCTGGAATGCAAATTTGTTCTTTGTATTTCTATTGTGCGAAATTGGTGTTTATTAAGGCAATGCAGAACTCAGAGAACATTGTATCTATATTTCTCTAACTTTCTTTATAATTAGTGCTATTTTTGGACCTGGTGCATTTTATCCAATGAAACACCACAAAATGGCTATCCAAATGCCATGTCACCATGCACACTATCCAGATTACATAAATGAGTGGTTATCCAGCCTCAATCTTGGGAGGTCCAGAATTAAATTCCATTCAAAAAATATCACATCAATTTCCCACTGGTAACAACCAAAAGGGAACAGAAATAACACTGAAAATCTTCCCTTCTTATTATCCTGACATTTCTTCTGTGTGAAAGCAAATTCAACAAAACCTTAAGGGGTGGTTTGGTAGACAGTAGCCATGGCATCAACAACTATCACCCCACTTTCTCTATCTTCTTCCACCCTCATTGATACCAAAGCGGCTACTCGTCACTCTGCAGCCGCATCCTCACAATGGGTAGCATTGCCGACCCTCCCTCCAACGCCCATTCAGTCCCAAAGTCGTGCTGCCAAGACCACTGCCTACAGTAAGATAGCTACACAGAATAATCAGATTTGTTATATATGCATCAAAATAATTGACCATTATGTACTTGTTAGGTCGAAAGATTGCCCGCAATGTTATGGCAATGGCAACTGGGGAGGCACCAGCTGAAGTTGTTGCAACCACTGAGCTTCCAGATATTGCTAAAACAATTCAAGAAGCTGTAAGACTTTGGTTTTTCGTCATCTCATGATTGATGTCTCCTCTTTACTACTGGCTTACGTGTGGTGATGACGATTTAAATTCTTAATTTATGCAGTGGGATAAAGTCGAAGATAAGTACGCTGTGACTTCTCTGGCAGTGGCTGGATGCATTGCCTTGTGGACCTTTTCTGGAATGATCTCAGTAAGAACTGTAACCATCTCCTAATTTCAGTGTGGCACAAGGCCTGCCTTAAAACTTGGGTTTCCTTTGTGACAGGCTATTGACAGGCTTCCACTGGTACCTGTTGTTCTTGAGCTAGTGGGAATAGGATATACTGGTGTAAGTTAATTTTCTTGTACAACTCTTGTAACTCTTTGGACATTTTTCAAAGAATTTTGTTCCTAACTTACACGTAAATTCAAATATTTTATAGTCAATCTCAGTCTTATAAATATTTATCTGTTTTACGTCTTCGGCTGAATAATTCGAGAATTGCCAAAAAAAAAAAAAAAANAAAAAAAAAGGACAAAGGATGGAAGAAAACCCATACATACATACATACATACATACATACATACATACATATATATATATATATATATAATTTACGTTACTTAGAATTTTTCAGCAGAATTGAAGAGTTCAACTTACGAATCTTTTGTATTCTTTGTACTTTTTAACAGTGGTTTGCATACAAGAACCTGGTTTCCAAAACAAACAGGTGATAATATTTCTCTTATATGAAACCAATGTAATTCAATATAGTTCTAAGTTGAAGCTAAAATGTAGAACTTGCTCTTATGGATTTCAGGGATGTCATGATACAGAAAATTAAAAACACATACGGGGAAATTATTGGAACCAGCTGAAGGAAAATTGCTGCAGATCGAATAGGGAAAAATACATGGCAGTATTGTACATCGCGCATAACCGTGCTTCTTTTTGTCAACTTAATTTGTAAACAATGAAAAATCTTATGTTTGTAAGTACATTTCAGTTTACATTCTAGTTCTGTAGCTGTACTCGTTTTTATTTCACCTATCTTTATGAACGAGAAGCAGTTTAGTGACAATAACGTGCTAAATAAAAGTAAACTATTTCGTATTTTCTTATGTGCGTTGCTGTATATTTATTCTGATCACTGTTCAGACAAATGAGCAGTCTAAAACGATGAATATAGCCAGATTCGGTTGAAAAGAGTGCATGTATTATTTAAACCCACAGCTGGAAAGTAGTTTTAAGCAGCATAACAAGAAGAATTGAAGTTCCTAAACAAGAAACACACCACAATCCAGCAATCTACTTGTGGAATTCCATGACCCAAAAGTTGCATACAGAACAGTACAATCTTATGCCTGTAAATCCGGCTCCTTTCGCTAAGGCAAGAAACTCGACTTCCGATCTCTCCTTGCCCCCTGGATTTTGAGTCATCATAATCAGATCACTTTGGCTCATACTAATCACGGAGCTACTATTTTCGGGTTTCACAGGAAGAATTGCCTCAACAACAATTACGTTTCCATCTTCAGGTAGAGCCTTGTAGCAGTTCTTAAGCAATTTCAAACAGTGACCATCACTCCAATCATGTAGTATCAACTGTCGAAAAATAGTTACCTAATTTAGATACAAATTCCTTGTCTAGTACCGCTATAAAGTTGATTAAAGTCTAAGTTAAAATCGACAATTAATTTTAACAACATATTTCATATGATCCACATCTTTACATTCATGCATTCCATTAATTTCAATCAAAATCTACTAAAAAGTTGATTTTAATCTCTATCAAACAAGGGCAATTTCTTCAAGAGTGATAAACAATCTGTAGCATTACATGGTTAATAAAGATAGATACGCTGAGGACACGTTGATTTAAATCCTTTATACTTTTAGTTTATGTAATATATGTTTGTTTTATACTTTTTAATATAGAACACATCACATCACATATTTTACACTTGTTCAAGGGATACCTCTAAGCCTTGTCTGAGGCCAATTTTTGGGGAGAAATATATTTTGAAATAGTGGTTTTTACGGAAAAACATAGTTAAAAAATTATAAAATTTTTCGATTTACGTATAAAATTATTTTATGAAAAAATGCATGATTGAATATGATTTTAAAAAAAATGAATTTTTGGAATCACGGGGGCCAAACATAGGCTAAGTATTCCTTGAGTGTCAAAATATTTAAATAATATATAAAAAATGTCACATCACACATGACGGGAAGGAAAGATAACATTAAATCCTTATTTGGTAGAGATTAAAATCAAACTTTTAGTAAATTTTAAGAAAATTTGATAAAAAAATGGTTGAAAAATTGTGGATCCCATAAAATATATTATTAAAATTAATTGTTCACTTTGAATTGAAATTTTAATTGAATTTTAATCCAAACCAAACATGGACAAAGTGTTTTGAATAGTGTCGGGTTGGGGTCCACTGACACCATTATACATAATTAAACAACATTATATCATTGCATCTTCCACAAACACAAATTTAATAATCTCTGTGGAAATTTTCTGCTTACTTTCATGAAAATGGCATCTCCTCCAGGAACACTTTCAAACATGTCTCCTCCAACATGTTTGACACCTGCATCCAAAACTTTACTTCAATTTTGAGCATTTATAAGCTCTCACTAGTTTGTAAACGAGATCTAAAGAACAAAATCATACCAGGATAGGATGGTGCCTCTCGTATAACATGTGGCAAATCGAAATTGATCCCACTAATGGTGGGATATCTCGTCGTGATCATGTTAAGGTTGACACCAAGACTCCCACCAACATCGACCAAAGTTTTGAGGTGGTCGAAACCTTTGTAGTGCTGAAGAATTTGTTTCATAACAACAGTTGTATGATTGGTCATTGCCTTGTTGAAAACTTGATTGAACCTAGGATCCTTTCCAGGATATTCAAATGCATGAGTACCATGAACCTTGTCAAATGGAACACCTCCTTCAAGAACCGCATCTTTTAATTTGTACCTATTATGGAGTTAAATCACATAAGTTGATCTTGTAATCTGAACAAGTTAAATATCACTCATAGTTTTTAACATGAATCTTTTGATTCATTCAGCTCAGTTACTTAGGGTAATCAATTCCAAAAAAAACTAACCAGCTGTCAATGAAGACCTTATCCTGAAGCAAGGCCATGAGAGGACAAAGTGAAACTCCATCTTCATTCTGCACAAAGTATTTGGCGACGGGTGCTAGCCCATAACGTCGTTGGCCATCGCTGACGGAGCATGTAAGCACTGAGTAGCTTACGAGGAGCCGAAGCATCCGGTCGAGCATGGCAGGTGCATCGGAGTTTGTAGTGGGCATATGGGACGCAATCTCGTGAGGAGAAATTTGTGCATCAGGACCGGCTTTGGCAAGAATTTCAAATACATTCAGTTCCATGGCTGCATTCAACGTCATGGGTAGCACAGAAGAAGTCACAAGCTGCGTTGCATATGTGAAGCGTTTAGATTCTTCTTCATCATGGGCTGGAGTTTTTGTCAAAATCTCCATGGAAACTGAAGTGGAATTGCTTGCCAAAGTTTTAGTGGAGTCCAGAGTGGTTATTAATGTTATTATTTATACATGAAATAAGAGATGATAAATAGTCAGACTCTGTGACAGGAAAAGTGACAGGTGCAGCGTGTCAGCATCCATTTGGTTGTTTTTTTTCCTTTTTAAACTACCCAATCAAATTCTGAAACGTGTCCCCTAATTTTAAATCCTGTCACCTACCCTGTTAGTGTAGCATTGCTCATGAAATAATTGTGTTCCACAGGGGATATTGACATTTTCGGGGAAAAGTTGGCATGGCATCCCATCTTCTCGAGCCAGATTAGACACAAGGATAATTTTTAGGATAAAGCTAATTAGACACAAGGATTTGCCATAATTGTATGTGACGATTGATAATTAACTGTGTTTTAAACTGTCCATATAGAATGTCACATGATATTATATCAAGATTTATGTCGATCTTGATATTCATATGGCACGATTGAAATTTTTAAAGTTGATCCACAAATAATGTTGATATATTTAAAATGTCCTTACGAAGAAAAATAAAAAATTTCTACGATTAGATATAACTTTGTCAACAATAAATATAGGATGCCACGGAAACTCTGCAGCGAAGTTTTAAATTGTAGAAAATGACCAAATGATGTGCGTCTATTTTTTTTCTGCACTTTTATGTTGTGTACTATATTTCCTTAAAAATATAAATAGACATCCACTAGAATAATTTAGATTGTGTTTAATATTTTTCATATTTTATAGTTTGTTCAAATGTGTCGGAGTAATGTGTTGAGATTGATGTTTTAAATGGTGAATCATCATCAACTTTGTGTATTTTTTATTATAATTCAAGAAGCATAAAAGGAGTTTTAAAAAATATACCTTCCCAACATCGGGTGCTTTCGTGGCCAACTATTTGTGTTCACTTTAAAACTGTTAAGTTTTTGAGAGTGAGTGAATGATTATGTTGTTTCAATGATGAAAGTAGTCTTAACCTAGGCCAAAGCAAAAGAATTGAAAAACCGACCAAATCGATTAAAACAAACCTACTCGGTTGGTTCAGGTCAATTTAACATAGTCAATTGGTTTGGTTTGGTTTTATTTTAAATAAAACAATGGTGGGTCGGTTCGGCCATGCACTACAACAAAACTGTGATTTCGCGACATACAAAAAATTGTTACAATAAGTGACTTAACGTGACACATTTTTTTGAGTTTGTCACAAAGTTTGTGATGAGAAAAATAAGTACCAAAAAACCTTTGACGACATAAAAAGTTGTCGTGAAATGTGAGAAGTTGCGACAAATAATAAAGAATGTCGCCAAAAATATGAGGGAAGCAAGGCGTCAAAATATTTTTGGTGGGAAACTTAGGGCGACAAACCTTTATTTCTTGCAACAAAATGC